ATGTGATTATTATGAATATGTCATCTTTTGTTCATGAAAAAGTAATGTGAAGCATGTGAACTGAAATGTAATGCTGCCAAAATTTGTTGTGTTGGTTTTCATCTGTACAGATATTATTTGTGTGTTGTGTCTCCTTGTTTCTTGATGTTGTGTTGGGTTTTCCTGAAGGATATTTTACTTGTTACATCTTTTGCTCTACCAAAAGTGGGTTGTTTTGAAGTGCTTTTCTATATTCTTGTCAAATTTGCCTATGTTTATTTGCAGAAAAGGTCAGTAGTTTGTTTGGGTATGTGACTAAACCAAAAAATCTATAGAGCCACCGGATGGTTTTCTTATAGAGCCATCCATCACTTAATATATTGTAGGACACGTGTCAATACACTATTCGTGAATAAGTGTGGATGACTCCATAAGTCGAGCCATCCAATGACTCGATAGCAAAACTGATGATTGATAAGCCTGATGCTAGGGACTTGGATATAAATTATTTTGGTTTTAATTGGATTTGTCACATAATCAGAGTTAATTTTGAAAAGGTTGATTGTGTTAGGTTTGAGTGAGATTTTGCATTTTTGTTAAAATAATATTCAAAATACAATGATTAAAGTTGATGTGATAAAAAAAAGTAATGCTTCGTTACTTACAGTGAGCACATGTTAATATGTCCGTTTATGTGGCATGCACACATTGGTGATGTTTAATATGTTCAAAAAAATTCATCACCAATGTGTGTATGCCACATAAGCGGTGGACATATTAACACGTGTCCACCGTGAGTAGATGAGCATTACTCTTAAATTTAAATGTCACTCTAAAATATGAACAAAAGTATGTATTTTTCTGTAACAAAAATATGATGAGTTGAATTGTGTTGGACTATCTCATACAAAAATTAAATTAATATTTTAAAAATATTATTTTGGGATCACAAGTCCTAGTGTTATCACATCATATGTTGACCTACAGTCAATCTGGCTTGCTCAATAATTTACAAAACAAAAGTTTGATGATATGATGTCACATGCATTTGGCACAAGTGCTACTATCGTGCGCCCTGTCACACCTAACAAGGTGTACCAGAACACTTTAAAATGAACATGTTATGTTACAAAATAAACATGTGTAAATCATATTTGCATATTTTCATTTTATAACATAACATGTTCATTTTAAAGTGCCCATGACACACCTTGGTGTGCCAGAACGCACCTAAGTATTTACACCTTGGTGTGCCAGAACGCACCTAAGTATTTACGTTTGGCCACCACTTGAATATAAAAAAAATCTGTTTAATCAAAACATAAATATATTGATGATGATGATGATTGGAGGATCAATTTTAAAGAGATGGAATTATTACTAAAAATAAAAACCAAGATTGCCATATATACTGGGCCGTCATATTCTGGGCTTCAAGGTCATGTTATTATATATTCAATAATAGACCAACAACAATTTACTATATAATTATCAAAGAGGAAACTGGGGTCATGATCTTGGGCCAAGCTTTATTGATTGGGCCATAAGGATGATGGTTATACTCATCTGTCACAGTTCCACCAAAAAATTATTAAATACCAAAAATGGCATCAGTCTTTCAATGACGGAACCGACCTGATGAGATATGAGTTAGCTTTGATATATATTAGGCAATTTGATATTTAACTAGTGCGTATCCCGTGCGATGCACGGATATATAAATTTGGAGAATATTATAATTTGACATGCATTAGGATATATGAGAGTTTATACATACGAACATTATTCATCATAAAATGTTCGTCACTAAAAAATTTTATATTATTAAAAACCTCTTTGTATACACCATATGAGTTTGATTATTGTTTAACTCGTTGTGAGGAGCACAGACCGACTCCGGCCGGATGCGGGTTGCACAAAGGGTTGCGAAAATTGGGCCTCACTCAACTGTGCTCCCTTGTTGGGCTTCTATCATGGGTTGCAGATGCTGATTGTTGTCGCCAAAAAAATTGCCCCAACGCTTGGACAATTTTTCTAATTTCCAACTATATTATAAATTATATTTTATTCTAAGTTTAACTTTTTCATTCCTATTTTATGAAGATAGTTATTGTACATTTCTATCTATACTAATAAAGTATATTTTAGTTTGAATCATGTAACTTCCTTAGTAATGAGTTGAATAATTTATAGATAGAAACATAACTTAATGATTCCCTCTAATTTCTCTCTCTCTCTCTCTCCCTTTTTCATATTTCATAGTATTTCACAATTTTCTCCAAATAAAACAAAAAAATACATACAACAATTATTACGTTGACCATCAAATAAATCAAAATAAGACTGTAAATAAATGTAAAATTTTCCTTAATAAGTTCTATATTGTTTTGAAAATAATAATTGCAATTTCAGGTTCGACACAAAATTGGTTTGTTTGTTTTTTATTAATTGTTTATGAATAGGCTATCTATCTTAATTTTTGTTCAAAGTTGGTTTATTTTTTATTTTTATCATCAGATATATCATGTTAGTCATCATTGGACATAAGCTCATAGGATTTGATGATAAATATGTATTTAGATTTTAACTTGTGCAATATAAATGTAAAAAATACAGAGAATATAATAACGCTAAATTTAATTTATTGGACATGTGCACGACAATGAGAAAAATGTGATTTTCTAAATTAAATTTTCAGGATAAATGCATTGCCAAATCATAAATTTCTGCAAGCAAGGAGCTTGCTCTAATATATTATTTGAGATTTCAGTGCCGATGGCTGTTTTTACGGTAATGGCTGTTTTTACGGTAATGCAAGCAGAATTTGGGTAAAGCCGAATGGAAAACGTTTTTGCAAATTTGTAGATGAGAATGAATTTAGAAGAACCGTATTTATAAGAATATTTACATTATTAAAATCTGAAAACAATAAAGAGTCCCAAGAGTTGGAAACCGTGTAATTAATATTTAATTAAACATATAAATTATCGATCTACATATCATAATTGATATGTTTAATTTTATAATACCATATAAGTTGGATTTGTTTCCAACCACTACATCTTATAATAACTGGTATGTAGATATTTTCATAATTTAAAAAAAAAAACGCCAAAACTGAAAAAAGAATCCCAAAACTTGGAAACAATATAATTTTAAATTTAATTAAACATAAAAACGGTTATAAAAATAATAGTTGATTACAAAGTATGTTTAATTTTAGAATTCCATATAAATTGGATTTGTTTACAACAAACAGAGGTTATAACTCTAATTTTGTTTAGATATCTAGAATATAAAACCCTTTAAAAGAGTCCCAACAAATGAAAACAATAAATTTTTTTATTTTTTTAAACATAAAAAATAGAGCTAATTAAAAAAATATATAATTTTATATTTCCCTTAAAATTAGGATTCTTTACAGGAAAACAAAAATCGTGTTACTAACTTATATGTTAGGTAATTAGAAATAAAAATGTATCCATAAAAACACGTGCTTAAAAAATTATAATTATTAAAAAAAATAGTTTTATGTCATGTCAAAAAGTATTAATACACGTGTTATAAAAAAAAAGTCAAATATCAAATATAGTTGTATTCATACATTTTTCGAATAAAATTTTATGCAATATTATGTAAAAAAACAAATTAAGTGAATAGTAATCATTAAAGTGAATAGTATTCATTATAAGAAATTGAGCCGCATTTTTTGGGAATGTTTATACCAAATTAATTTCTGAAAATCTCCCGCATTTTGTGGGCATTTAAAGCTGAACGTGAAAAAAAGAAAAGGGAAAAAAAGTTTCCATTAATAGTAAATAATTAATGAAGAAAGAGATTTGACCAAAAATTGACCTGCCATTTTTGAAAAATGGTAAATCCTTTTATATATATATATAGATTCGGACATTCAAATTCAAAATTCAAAAAAGACCGCCGGTTTTCAATTTATTTTAAAAAGATTACTAATAGAAGTAATAACGAATTATTTAGGCGGGAATTTAGCTACTATTTCAGGTAAATGTCAAACCTTTTTATATAGATATAGATACCTTGCCATCGGATGGATTTTTTATAGAGCTATCGATCAGTTAATATATTGACAATTGTTCAAAATGTATTTATCGTGAACACGTGTCAATACACTATTTATAAATAACTATGGATGACTCCATAAGGCACGTCATCCGATTGCTCCATAGTAAAACTGCTTACCAATATGTGGTAACATAAGTAGAACTATTTTCCTGATAATTTGTTTGTTTAGAGAGTAGAGAGTAAGATTGTGATTGAATTGATTCGAAACCGAAATAAATACCGAACCATTCAATTCAGATTATAAAATAAATAAAATACAGTATTTCTATTATTTACTAAAAAAAATCAATTGGGATATGTCTGTGTTTGATTCGTTTAAGATTGAAGATATTCTGTTTGATTTGAAATTCGTTTTGAAAATTATTCCTAAATATATTATGACCAAAATTTCATAATATTATAGAATATATTGAATTTATAAAATTATTATGATGATCAAATATTTAAAAATTCCGAAATCGAATATGTCTACATCCGAATTCGAAATCAATAAAATTTTGAATACAAAATAAATAATACTCTTATTCAAATTTCATGAAAACTAATCACCTATTCGATTCTATTACTACTCTGGGATAAAGGATAGAATTTTCGTTTATATTTATATGAGGTACTCATACATTTATGGGAAATGCTCGTTGCGGAACCATTTCGTCGGGATTTGTAACAGTTCGATCATCATGTAACCGTCAGGAATAATTGATCTAATGGTTACAAACCCAACGGAATAGTTCCGAACCATAGCATCTTCCATTCTTCCTTGATTTATATGTTATCACTAGTTTTATAACAGCGGCTTGTGGCAAAATAAATGAAGAAAATTTACAATAAATCAGTAGTGAAATTGTGGCGATAATAATTCATGTGTTCAAAATTATCTCAAAAAGCCTCTAAAATCATAACAATAACAAAAGAGAATTCCCTCAAAACTCACCTTCGAACTTCGAAAACTTGCTACCGCCACTCCCTCCCCTCCTCTTCTCGACCCGTTTCTTATCACCGTATTTCTTATCCTTACCTTTCGGCCCTCCCATTTTTCCTCCCTCCACACCCGATTTACTTCCTCCACTCTTCTTGTCCTTCTGCCGGTTCTTTCCACCGGGCCCCCTCACCCTCGGCTCGGGCCCACGAACGGGCACTAGGAACTCCGAGTACGTTGGGGGTGGATCGTATACATCGGGGGCCCACGATACCCGGCGCTCCCCAGCCGGCCCACTTAGTCTCTCGCGGCTGCCCTTGAGGGCCGGGATGAGGTTATTGTGGATCTCGGGCCTGATGATGGGCTCTTTCCTTACATTGCCCATCTGGGCCAGAAAAAGCTCGCTCGACAAATCATCATCATCTTCATCGTTTTCTTCATCTATCTCGTTAAAGATTTCATTTTTCCGAGACCCATTTGTACTCTCTTGTTTTGGTGTGGATTTTGAGTAACCCATCTGGGCTAATAGCTCCTCTTCGGTAAAATCTTCATCCTCGACTTCTTCATCGGTCTCATCCTCATCCTCTAACTGAGGCCCGTTTGTATAGTTCGTTCGGTTGCCCGAGTTTACCTTTAGCTTGCCCAACAAGTTACTGCTTAGCTCGTCTACTGGTATAGAAGCTACAGAATTATTCACCTCAGAAGTCGATGCGCCAGAAAAAGAATTATCTTCGTCCATTTGATATGTAACGGGTGATTAATATTTAGGATTATGATTCAATCGGCCTAAAATACCAGAAAGAAAAGGGCAAATCGGATTACGCAAAGCAAAGCAGAGGAAATGTGATTTCACAGAGGCATATAAACAAACACATTGTGATCATGAATCATGAAACAGAAATAATCGACGCTTTCAAATATCGAGAATGATCCACAGAAGAAGAAATCCAATACGAGAAAATTACTAGCTTTCATCGTCAAAATTCTCAAGAAATTTACAGATTTAAAGACGCATATTTTTCAAACATACACATGATTTTGTACCAGAAAAAAAACTACACAGAGTTTAAAGCAGCAGAATATTAACGATCGCCATTGACTTCGATTCACTAGCTTCAGCTCGAGAGGGAATCGTACCTATGAATAATCTGAGAGATCACAGTTTTTAACGAAACCCTACAAACAGAGTCGAATTCCCCAAATTGTAGCTAATTTTGACTGCGATCAACGGCCTCGTTTTCTACTTTTTTTTTTTTTTT